TAGTTGAGAACCAGAGTTCGGCCACTTTTGTAGGACTGAATAATACAAAAGGCTGCGCCAATCCGGCAATCATTTGCCCCACAATTGCCACAATAAACTGTGATCTCTTTGACAGAGTTAATGAATTGACAATAAAATCAGCACTACTTAAGGCCCGCAACGATATACCAAGGGCATTTAATATAGATCCTAAATATATCTGAAATTAAATTGTGTTTTACTTATAAAATTATTTTAATATCCATAAACGGTATAATACTCCGAGCATTAGGCCATTCCTATCGACAATCCAAATGGCAATAAATCCGATAACAATTGTGGACACAAAGAATATGGACGAAAATAAGTCAATATTATTTTGGTCCGTCTCATAGAAATGGGCCGCTTTATCGGCCACGGGAGCCATTGATATCCAAACCTATTACAAAGTTTTCTAATTTAAGAATATTCTTTAAGAATTTCAGAGCATTAATGTTAAAGATTAGATTATTAAGAAAAGGATTTGGGATTCAAGATATACTGAAGAATAATGAGTAGNTAAGAATATTCTTTAAGAATTTCAGAGCATTAATGTTAAAGATTAGATTATTAAGAAAAGGATTTGGGATTCAAGATATACTGAAGAATAATGAGTAGAATATATAGTTTGGAAACTTATAAAAGAGCGAACAAACCGCAGCATTGCATATATTAATGAGCGATACAATAGTCAATATAATCCATCGTCTCTTATATACTCGTCTTTGATTGTCATTTGAGTGAGAATTCGAGGATTCAATCAACGGATGGCTATACTCTTCCATCACTCACTCAACCAGAATCCGCCCCTCAATGGCCTCAACGATAGGGCTTTAGATGGCAATGATATTCATCCAAACAATTTAAAGCCAAATACTTTTGTATATTCTTTTTAGTATAGTATTATAAATAATGACATAAAATACTAATAAAAAGTAAATTTATTCAAATATGGAATTATTGGTGGAAATGTAAATATTATATAATATTGTGTAAGCAATAATATTAGCAAGGAACTAATGCTAAATAATGCTGATGTCGCCACTTTGATGCAATTTTCAATATTTTAATTGCAATTGCATTATTATAATAGACTTTGCATTGAATGGGAAATGAATTCTCATTAATAGTAATATAAAAGTGAAAAGAATTGTTTGAAATGTAACACAAATTGAAAATATAATTGAAAAGAATTGCAATAATTATGGATTAGAGGAGAAGAGGTGTTGACACAAATAAATGCTTAAAACACAATACTTGCCATCAATTGAATATGAATTTAAAAGGAATGAGGGTTTGTTTGCTCATGAGTTTCAGTTTTACCATAACTGAGACACTCATACATCCTATACTACCATAGGAGTTGGGAATTCATATAATAATGCCAATGAATGGCAATGAAATGAATCGGTGATCGTTTGGGCCTTGAATTGCAAAACAATGTATTTTCTCATTATTTTCTTAAATAAAAAACACAATTAAATGCAAATATATTTAAACAAGAGATGAGTCA